AGCCCCTAAACTCGAGCCAGGGTCTCAGTTTTCAGTCCACGAAGAAGAGAAAGAAGAAAGAACAAAAAACAAATCAACCAAACAACGAACCAGTTTTACCTTAAAATGAACAGCAAAGAATATATTGCTATGCCAACAGTGCGGCTGTATAATGTCAGTCACAACGAGGACACCACTTAGGCTAGTCCGACCCATTATAGTTGTAAATTAGGGTGAATGCTCTAATCGGCTACAGTGTCCAACTCAGGATGGAGAGCTTCGATTTTCTTCCATGGTTTGAATGAAGCGAGAGGCCTCCTCAACTGACTCCAATTGCCGGATTTTCCCATCTGAAAGAGTAATGTGGAGCCTGGCGGGGAAGAGAAGGGAAGGACGAAGGCCTCTCCGGTATAACTCGGCCATAACATCCTTATACTGGGCTTGCTGCTTTTGGACGTCGGCATTGTAATCCTCATAAAACAGAAGTTTATGTCCGCAGTATTCCAATATCCCTCGGCGTCTCCGTGCTTCCCTCATCAGCAGCTCCTTAATCTGGAAGCAGTGGAAGCGGATAATGACTTCCATCAGGGCCCGGGTTGGGCATAAGGCTACAGTGTGCTCTGTCAAGCTCCGGGGGGATGGCAAAGTTTGTGCGCCGAAGACCTCCACCAGCAGCCGGGAAAAGAACTCAGTTGGCCGTGGACCCGGCTCCACCGATTCCAGCAAACACACCAAACGGATGTTCTGCCTTCTGCTTCTACTCTCCAGGTCGGAAAGTTTAGTTTTGAAAAGTTTGTTTTCCTCCTGTAGTGAATCATACATAGCTTCGAGTGCTGCGAAATGCTGAACAACATCCACTGCGTTTGATTCAAGCTCACCAATACGTAGTTCTTGATTTGCAACTTCCGCTTGAATCTTGTCCAGCTTACCGTTAATTACATCCAATGTAGCCTTAAAATCTGCGGCTATGGCTGTTCTGTGCTGTTCGAGCAGGGCGACAAGCGCCGGGTTCAGGGCTGCACTAGCATCCTCTGCTGCGCCAGCGTTAGCACAGCTCTCGCCAGTAAGGTTTTTCTCAGTTTGTCTCCTTCCCTTGGACATCCTTCCAATGTGACACTCTTAAATGACCCGAAAAATTCGTATCTAACAGCAAAATGGGGCTCAGAGAGTAAAATTTCAAAAAAAAGTTAGGCAGGTGCTAGTGGCCGACACACCTTACTCCATTGCCGGAAAACAGATGTCCCCTGCAAACCTAACCTCGTGTGATGTATTCTTAACAACTTTGAATAATGGAGTATGAAGTGAGAGGCATTTAACAGCGGCCTCCCATGGACGAACGTGATAGAGCCTGCCTGAATCTAGGAGAAAAATTGAAACGGGAGTGGCATTCAGGGAGGGAAACGTGGGTGTACGGGGCGCAGGAGCCAACCCTGATGCGTGGCCTGTGAAATGCGACCCAGGGGTACTCTGGGACCCCCGGGGTCCGGAGCTGCCCCGAAGGGGAGCACAAGGGTTAACAGGAAGAAACCTCCGGCAGAACCAGGCTCAGGGAGGGGCGGCCATCTGCTGCGACGGTGGGGTGAGGAGGAAGACAGGAAAGACTGCTGTTGAGAGAGACAGAGGTTAATAACAGATATGATTCAATGCAGAGAGGTCTATAGCTAGGTTTCATTTGACGTAGACGTGACGTCGACGTAAAGCGCGAAATTTGACTGGCGGTCGAAGTGAAAAGATAAGCGCAAAACACAGACAGACAGTACGCAAATGCTATTCTGTTGTGTTTACGGATGCTCCAGTAGGTCGACAGAAAACTGATAAATGGTATTTAGGTACCAAAATAGCCAATGAAGAGAAAAATGGAAAATTCTAACCGAAAAACGTAGGAAAAAATGGATTTTAAATTTACGTTTACAGTCGGTAGGAGCAGAGTCTGCCAATGCCCGTGTCTGCAGCGACCACTTCGTCAGAGGTAATGTTATGGTTGCAAACGAACTTATTAGCATTAGGTTGTCGTTAAATTCTTGTTTACTTAGTGCTTTTAAGTTAGTAGTCTAATATTGACTTGATTGGGACTATAGGCTGCCCAAGTGCTTTGGATGACGAAGAGTCGGAGGACTGGGCTCCGATGGTCAATCTCGGCTACGAACGAAAACCCAGATTGGAATCAGTTCTCAAACGAGAGAAAAGAATGAAGCTTAAGGCAGAACAGCATCGATGTGCAGAGGCGATTTTGGATATGCAACAGACGGCTGAGAGCCCGGATTTGAGCCTAGTGACAGTGGAGAACCCCGAACTGCAGCTTCCAGCTGAGAATCCACAACCAGAAGACTTCAGTGTGAATGAGACATTCACTTATCCAGGTAAGATATTGTGCTGAGATGTAAAACAAACAAGAATCATGTCAAAGAGAAAAAGATGCCATTATCTGTAATGATTATGGTCCAAGTTACATATTACATGTTTGTGATTGTTTAATCACAGAGTAAATCCACACCATTTTATTCAGAAAAAAAGAAAAAGTGGCACTTATTACCGTCAGGCACACACCACAGGTTTTTGTACACTGCTATGGTTCTTATATTGCCAGATTCCAGACAGTCTCCTTTCACAGATAAGTAAAGATATCCGTAATGTAAGGTTTCTGTGGTGAGAAACATATAAATATATTTTTTGTTTAGATGCAACATGTTTTTTTGTTGATTAAAAAAAAAATTACATTAAATTAACATAGTGAATTAAACACATTACACCAGATTCTAATAGCCCACTAAAAAACTCCTACAGTGAAAATGAGTAAAAATTGAGGTTGCCTCTATTATGCTGATTATGCTCCCCCACTGTTATATTGCAGGCTGTGCGGATGCTGGATGCCAGACAGAGCTGACGATGGATGACATCGAGAAGATGGAGGATGTTTTGAGACAGAACACAGCAGAGCTGGTTGATCTTCGGAGCAAGGCTCTGGACACACAGTTCAGCCAGGAGGCTTTTGAAAAAAATGAAGACAAGTTCTACACAGGGCTCCCCAACTTCTTAGTTTTAATTCAGATTTTTGAACTGTGCGAGCCCTATATCACCTCGGGACCTATGTCTTTGTTGTCCAAATTTGAACAATTCATACTAGTTTTGCTGAGACTAAATCTGCCCCTGAAAGATTTAGCTTTCAGGTTCAATATTTCTCTGTCCACTGCTTCTAGAGTTTGGCATAAAGTAATTGACATACTTCATAAAAGGTTAGAGTTCCTAATTGAGTGGCCAGAGCGACATGTTCTTCAAGCTACGATGCCACTGAGTTTCAGACAGGCATTTGGATGTAAAGTGGCTGTGATTGTTGATTGCTTTGAAGTCTTTATTGAGAGACCATCTAATCTTCTTGCACAAGCTCAAACTTGGTCCAACTACAAGCACCATCACACTGTAAAATTTTTGATTGGTGTTGCCCCCCAAGGCTACGTCACTTACATATCTTCTGCCTGGGGAGGGAGAGTTAGCGATAAGCAGATCACAATAGAGAGTGGCCTCCTAAAGAACTTGTTACCTGGAGATATTGTCCTTGCAGATCGTGGGTTCAATATTGGCGATAATGTGGGGTTTTACTGTGCTTCACTACAGACACCGGCATTCACTAAAGGGAGAAAACAGCTGTCAGCCTATGAAGTGGCAGAGACAAGGAAAATAGCCAATTTGCGTATCCATGTTGAGCGAGTCATAGGTTTAGTCAGGAGGAAATATCAAATTCTGCAGAGCAGGGCTATGCCAATAGAGAACATGTCCACAAAGCCAGGTGAGACACATGCATTGATCGACAAGATTGGGGTAATTTGTTGTGCCTTATCAAATCTCTCCGAGTCTGTTGTCCCACTGGAGTAAGGGGGGTGGGTGGTAATCAATCAGTTAAAAAAAATTAAATGTCTTGTCACTGTCACGGCTCACAGAAGGGGGTGGAGAGGAAGAGTAGTGTCCAGTATCTGCTGCTTGGCTCTGGTGATAAGTAGAACAGGGTAGAGTAATAGTAGTACCTAAGTCCTGACTCCTGATTAGTCTGTAAATGTTTTCAAATGAAATATTTTTCTCCAACTGTCATATTGTGCTGGCAGTTTGTACAATATTATACTGTGAGATGGATTGCAATCTATTTTGTTTATTTGTTTAAAAGTCTAATCTTGTAAATAAACCACCAATGTATTATTATGCTGCCTCAATAGCATTTAATCATTGTGTAGTGTTACACAACACTTAAATGACACAATTAAATGTACAATAAAATTAAATGACAATTTGTGCTCTAATGCTACGTCAGAGCAAATACAATAGCCAGAACTCATAATGACTACCATCAGGTCATAACAATATTCAAAATGTCATTATGTTGTCGTCCTTTTATCACATTACACATGTATGTTTGTAACTTGCTGTCCCAGTATTTCTGGGAGTATACTGTTTCTAAAAAAACACTCAACTTTAGGAATCGCATCATCCCAAAACTCAAGGTCAAGGTCCTTTCAACAAATATGTCATTGCGGTTCCACACAACAAAGTCACAGTACTCTGCATTTGCAATGTGAAGCTGTGCCTGAATTTGGTAATAGTAGTCATGAGTTGGGTCCAGTGTGACATTATCCCCGTCACTGATGAGGCAGAAGCCCTTCTCCCCAGCACGCATGCGCAGGTTGACCGCATCTTTCTGAGAGTGTGGGCACTAAAATCACAGTGATGAGAACAACAATCAAGATTTATCTGATGAAACAGTGAAGAAGCAAAGATGATGGGTGTGGTCTGTGTTATCATAATCTCTCATTGCCCAAAACAAATGTCTATTTGACACAGACAATAAAGCCTCATCTTATCTTAATTGAACAATAGATTAGAAATTAGAAAAGGTATTTCCTGCATTTTTACTCAGTTCACTGATTCTTATGGAAAGATGTCACACCTATGGCCTTGACTACAACAGAGTCAATACCTTAATCTCGTAGATGCCAGTTCCATGACAGTCACAAGTGACTATCCCATCAGGGGAGGACCCCATGTATGGCCACTTGGGGTTCAGCCAGAGACCGCTGTCCATACATGAGAAGCCTGCATGCTCCTGGCTCATAAGCTTCTCATATGCTCCTCTGGCTTGTGCTTCATGTTTGCATCCATAACTATAAACAGTACACATGCCAAACATGAAAGGAAATTATTACTTAGTATTGGATGTGTAAAACAGTAAAGTGATGTATTATACAATATGCCATTACCCTAAACTATACTTAGTTCTTACCCTGTATAACCCTAGCCGTATAAGCCTATAACTAACCTCCATCTTCATAACACTTTTTTAGTTACAGTTATGGACAGTTTCATACCCCAAATCTTAACTCTGCCTTACCCTACATCAAACCCTAAATACCTTGTAGCAGCTGTGGTGAACCTATATGCCTCTGGATAGCATATGGCCTTGATCAAGCTCTTTGATGGTTGCTGGGGGTTGGTCTTAAGAACTTGTTTCAGCTTAGAGGCAGTTACGCGTCCAGCTCTTTGCCTAAACCAAATACTGCTTGCACTCTGACTTCGAGTCGCCCTCTCTACAGCCTGGACTTGGGACAGGGTGAGCTCTTCAAGCTGGAAGTCCAGGCATAGCTCTTCAAGGTCTTTGGGGGGAGCTGCAGTGTCTCTGGTGTTCTGTACTCAGGCACAGTTTTAGGAAGCATGCTAGACTGGGGGACAAATTCTTTGTGGTAAGGTTCCCTAGACATCAGTGCTGCACTCCTTGGACAGTTTTTGCTTAAACTCTCAAAAAACCTACAGTATGTCTCTGAATCTCTCTGCACTCTTGGGCATGGAAGTGATTTCCCAACCTTTTGTGTACTTGTGCAGCCATCAATGGAACACTCAAGCTTTCGTTTTTTTGACTTTGCTGAAGAGAAGTCAATCAGAGTTACTGGGCAAGCAGGAATCTGGAAAAATTAAGCCAAAGAAGATCATTAAAATTTAAAAAGCTCTTTTCCAAAACGCTATATATTCGTTTCCAAAAATATTCGAAATTGAACAGTGATGGCAGTGGAGGGAGTATGTGTGTTTTAGGCTGGGTATAGTGGTTGGTTGGCAGTGAAGTGTGTGTGTGTATGTTGGGTGGGGATGGAGGTGCCATGTGCTGGGTATAAAAGGAGTGGAAAGTAAGCAGTTCCATGTTGATGAAAATGTGGTGTGAGGAGTTGTGAGTATTGAGGAATGCATGAGAAATGTGAATATATAAAGTGCTGCAGTCAGGTGTGTGTGTGCGCAGAAAACAAGTGCTAGGGTGTTGAGACATGCATGAGAAGGGTGTGATATACAGTATACGGTTCTGCAGTCATGGTTATGTTAGTCATGAAAAAGGAAATGGCTTTTAAATGCTGTTATAGCGTTTTGGAATAGAACTCTTCATTTATTAAAGTACTGCCTTTTGTCTGACCCCTCACCTGCAACCTGCCCGGCTTGATTAGATCTACCAGGAGCTTGAAGCCCCCGCCGGTATAGCCTACAGGGTCATTGAGGCACTCAAGCTTCCCCACCACGACAAGGTAGCAGTATAGGGGAAGATATTTTATCCTACTGTCACATGAAGTCCCAATATAACATTCTTTATCCTACATTTTGCTTTTTGGCTTACCTTTTTAACATGAGATGGCATCAGCCACTTGCACTGCTCTGATGTGCATGTCGCTCTCATTTTCACCCCAGCTTCAACTGCAAAAAGAACAGCTCCAACGTGCGAGCATGATTCTGATAGTCTGGAAATAGAGCACATAATCTTTTTAACATGAATGCAATATTTACAGTACATTTTGATGATGCATAGCTTACTAATACTAATGTGCAATGGCACTTTATTTGAAGTAACATGTTTATTCATTAACTCTTTCTCAACAGCCTATAGAGAAATCATTATCTAGGTGATGACATGACTGAATAGTTCTACCCTCTATCTGAAAAATGCATCTGAGTGTCATGAGGGATCTAAGGCAATCACACAAATTCTTAGCTGATGAATTCTTAGCTAAAAGAAAACACTCTCTCCCCACTACTACTGAAGTACACCTGCAAAATGCTAGCAGTGCCCTATGCGTATATGTGTGTGTGTGTGTGTGTGTGTGTGTGTGTGTGTGTGTGTGTGTGTGTGTGTGTTCTCATTGCAATAACATCCTACTTAATTAGGCTACTAACCCTGCCATACAATTGCAATGAGCTGCAATCACTTCTCCATCCTCCTTTGCAATTACCCAAGTCTTCAGAGGTGTCTCGTTAGACCGCTGAGAATGGTTTACCTTGAAACAAACAACTGTCACTCTAACGAAGTCCTAAGGATGTGGCATGTTTGTTGACGTTAAAGCCGCTACCGCTAACTGTTAGCGTGTTTAAGATAAAGCAATATAAGAACAAACACCCACCCTTGCAAACACCAAACTGTATCCATCACGGAGACGTTTTGTTCCAAGGTTGTGGACCCACCCGCTGACAAAAAAATTGTACGCCTCCAGACTCTTGAAAGCTTTCATTTGCTGCCTAGTGTAGTAAGAAGTCTGGAGGACCAAGTAGTTGGTGATATCCACAGCCTCGATAGTAGGCAAATCCTTTACTTCTGTGGTGTATTCGGACATTTTCAAAGAATACGGATCACGTCCGATATATTTTTTAACTATCTGTTTATATCTCTCCCGAGAAACGGGGTCTAAAGTTGCACAATAGCTGCTCTCCTGACTCTCCACAGTGTCCTCCATGTTTACTTCCGCCCTCCACTCAAAAATCGCGCTGCCTCCGCACGTCATCAGAACCACGTGACCGCAACCCAACTATTAACACATAGTGAGTGAGAAAGGTGACTGGAAAGGAAAAACTTTCAGAAAAACCGAATCCAAACTGGAAGCTGGTTCCACAGAAGAGGGGCCTGAAAACTGAAAGCTCTCCCTCCCATTCTACTTTTAAATACTTTAGGAACAACAAGTAGGCCTGCAGAGCGAGAGCGAAGTGCTCTAATAGGGTGATACTACAAGGTCATTAAGATATGGTGGGGCCTGATTATTTAAGACCTTGTATGTGAGGAGCAGGATTTTGAATTCAATTCTGGATTTAACAGGAAGCCAATGAAGGGAAGCCAAAACAGGAGAAATCCGCTCTCTCTTTCTAGTCCCTGTCAGGACTCTTGCTGCAGCATTTTGGATTAGCTGAAGGCTTTTCAGTGAGTTTTTTGGACATCCTGATAATAATGAATTACAGTAGTCCAGCCTGGAAGTAATAAATACATGAACTAGTTTTTCAGCGTCACTCTGAGACAGGCTATTTGTAATTTTAGAGATGTTGCGCAAATGGAAGAACACAGTCTTACATATTTGTTTAATATGTGCGTTGAAGGACATATCCTGGTCAAAAATGACTCCAAGGTTCCTCACAGCGTTACTGGAGGCCAAGGTAATGCCATCCAGAGTAAGAATCTGGTTAGATACCATATTTCTAAGATTTTCAGGGCCGAGTACAATAACCTCAGTTTTATCTGAATTAAGAAGCAAAAAGTTAGCGGCCATCCAGGTCTTTATGTCTTTAAGACATTCCTGCAGTTTAACTAATTGGTGTGTGTTATCTGGCTTCATGGACAGATAGAGCTGGGTGTCATCTGCATAGCAGTGAAAATGTATGCTATGTCTTCTAATGATGCTGCCTAAGGGAAGCATGTATAATGTAAACAGAATTGGTCCTAGCACTGAACCCTGTGGAACTCCATAATTAACCTCAGTGTGTGAAGAGGACTCTCCATTTACATGCACAAACTGGAGTCTATTAGATAGATATGATACAAACCACTGCAGTGCAGTACCTGTAATACCTACAGCATGTTCTAATCGCTCTAATAGGATATTATGGTCGACAGTATCAAACGCTGCACTGAGGTCTAGCAGGACAAGCACAGAGATGAGTCCACTGTCAGAGGCCATAAGAAGATCATTTGTAACCTTCACTAAAGCTGTTTCTGTGCTGTGATGAGCTCTGAAACCTGACTGAAACTCTTCAAATAAACCATTCCTCTGCAGATGATCTGTTAGCTGTTTGACAACTACTCTTTCAAGGATTTTTGATATGAAAGGAAGGTTGGAGATTGGCCTATAATTAGCTAAGACTGCTGGGTCTAGAGATGGCTTTTTGAGTAAAGGTTTAACTACAGCCAGCTTGAAGGCCTGTGGTACATAGCCGATTATTAGAGATAGGTTGATCGTATTTAAGATCGAAGAATTAATTAATGGCAGGACTTCTTTGAGCAGTTTTGTAGGAATGGGGTCTAAAAGACACGTTGATGGTTTGGAGGAAGTAATTATTGAAGATAACTCAGAAAGATCAATTAGAGAAAAAGAGTCTAACTTCACATCAATGGTACTAAGAGTAGCTGTAGATAATATTACATCTGTGGGGTGATTATTGGTAATTTTTTCTCTAATGATAAAAATTTTATTTGTGAAGAAGTTCATGAAGTCATTACTAGTGTGTTGTCTTCGTATAGCTTTGAATAATTGCACAGCATCCACTTGTGTTTCGCGAGCGTCTGCTCCAAACAAGGCAAGATGAATAATTTTTAAAGGTGAAATGTAGAGGTAAAATCATAAGTAGTCAAAAACGGCCAATTATACCCACTTTCAATTCAATTCAATTCAATTTCTTTATTGTCCCACAAGGGGAAATTAGTTTAGCAGCAGGAGGATAAGAACAAACAGAACAATACTATAAAACAATAATAACAATAATAATGATAGAAAATTCAAGGACAATTATTTGCCATTAAGGAGACAAGACGCAGTAGGGATAAAAGAGACCTGGAGTCTTTTAGTCCTCCTCGGAGGTACTCTAAAACGGCGGCCGGAAGGCAACAACTCAAACTCACTGTGAAGTGGATGGTTCACACAATTAATAATAGAATGAGCCTTTCTAAGCACATTTCTATTGTAAATGGCCAAAAGTCCATCTTGCCAGCGCCCTGAAATTTTGCTAGCAGTTTTTATCAGAAGTCCCAGCCGATTCTTATTCTTCACCGTCAGGTTACCAAACCAGGCAGCGATACAAAAAGACATCACAGATTCGATAAAACTTCTATAAAACAAGGACAACATCTCAGATGAGACATTAAAAGATCTCATTTTCCTTAAAAAGAACAGTCTTTGTTGAACTTTTTTAGTAGTGGCATCAGCATGAGATTCAAAACACAGTTTATGGTCAAGTACCACACCTAGATATTTATAACTCTCAACGATCCCAATATCGGCAGTTTTAATGATAGTGAGTGATGAGCTATAAGGGGACTTCCTAAAATCAATAATCATGTCTTTAGTTTTTGACACGTTAAGTGAGAGGAAGGACTCATCACACCAATTCACAAAATCATCTACAACCTGTCCATGGCCTGACTCGTCCCCCGCTAGAAGACTGACGATCACTGTGTCGTCAGCAAACTTCAGGATGTGTCTGTTTGTGAAATTGCTGCGACACTCATTTGTGTACAGAATGAACAGAAGGGGAGAGAGGCAACAACCCTGGGGTGATCCAGTACAGGAGGAGAGCACATCAGAAAAGACATGATTTACCCTCACACATTGTGACCTATTAGTCAGAAAGTCTGTCACCCAGCCGACCAGACTAGTGTCAAGCTTGAAATGATTGTAAAGCCTGTCAGCAAGTAAGAGGGGTTGAATTGTATTAAATGCAGATGAAAAGTCAGCAAATAATAATCTTGCATGGGTGTGGGGGGCCTCAAGATGCTTATACAAGAGATGCAGGAGTGTGACAGCAGCATCCTCCACAGCTCTCCCTGCTCTATAGGCAAACTGGACGGGGTCAAGATGGTGTTCAACCTGCATTAAAATCTCCTTCTTAATTATCTTCTCAAATGTCTTCATCACTAAAGAAGTCAGAGCCACAGGCCTAAAATCATTCAGTGCCTTAGGAGAACTGCCCTTAGCAACAGGAACAATGATTGCATGTTTCCAAATCTTAGGTACCATCTGTAGCTCTAAAGAAAGTGAGAAGATATAGTGAAAAATCCCACTCAGCTGATCAGCACAAGTTCCATCAAAGTAAGTTTTCCTGACCATTACTGGATAATAGGTCATCACTGCACCAGATACATATTCATGCCATTTGCTAAGACAGGAGGCACCAATCACAATTTTCCCTGGGTTAGAGCCTTTGGTGGACATGGAGACTCCGTAGTACCTGGCTGAACTGTTATTGTTCTGAGAGATACAGATGGTGGATGAGACCAGAAGATTTGATTCCAAGCTGTTAACAGGATCTTGTAGACTGTTCTTTATTTGTTCTTCATTCTCAGGATTTTTCTGCCGGACGATCTGGAAATGGTTACAGATATTGATGTTACAATTCTTTTTCCAAATTTCCATAACTATTACTATCATATCAATACTTAGAATATGTTTTTTTACCAGTTATCATGAAATGAAACTCTGTGACAGCCCTGTTGGATCATGACATGCTCACAAGTTTAAACTTTATGCTGAAATATTTTGCTGTGTCTAAGCTGATTTTAAAAAGAAACAAAGCAGTGGTATGAGTGCGTGAGAGAAAATGCACTGGATGGATTTGTGGGCAATGTAAATTCAGAAATTACACAGGGAACAGTATTGTACACATGGAGAGTCATGACACTAGCTGATGTCTCAGTTAGATCAAATTAAAGTCAGCTGGTTCAGTCCCACCTGCCTATTAAAAGGTTTCTTATTACCAGATT